ATATGCGTTTTTGCTGCCTGTTGCAGCGCTCTAGCGCTGCACGGCAAAAACGCATAAAAAGTAGGAAATTCTTCATTCTGTAATTGCTACACATGCAAATCCCGGAAAAAATCGAAAATAAATCGAGACCATAACTTGGATATTTTTTCAACAAAAGTAAGGGTTTTTCTACGTCACAGCGAAAGTATGGTGAAACAAATTGTTTGGCCATAGGATCAAGAAATCCAGTCAGTTTGGTTTCAAAATCCAATCTGATTTCCGGAAAACCTCGGACTAAACCTCATCTTTGAGCCTGAAACCTCACTTTTAAAACTTTTAATTTGTTTCGTGTTCAGCTTTGGCGCAGGCTTGTTTTCATATCTTAATGAAACGGGAAAAGGGTCTTACCGGCTCGCCTTCTTGTACATAGCTGCGCGGCAGTCGCGGTCGTTCTTCCTTGTCCATTCTCTGAAAATTGTCCGCCATCAATATTGCTACGAACGTTAAAAATGCGGTACAGGCTTATGAAATCAAACTGATATTCTAGACAATCGGAGGCATCCGCGAAGAACGAATGTATGGAAGTGTCATAAATGTTTTCTTTGTGAATCAGCACCAAAGTGCAGGATGATTGTTGTGAGTGATCAGGAACATCGGTTTTAAAAAAAAATGTACTTTCAACGATTTTTTGAAAAGCAGCGTTAGGATTGTGCTGCCAGTAAGTTTATTGCAGAGTGTTTTCGCCTCTCGTACAAAATATTTTTTCTTACTGCAAAAATCTGCAATATCGTGTTCTTCATTTTGTAATTGCTGCACCGTGCAGATCCCGGAAAAAATCGAAAATAAATCGAGACCATAACCCGGGTATTTATTCAACAAAAGTAAGAGTTTTTCTACGTCACAGCGGAAGTATGATGAAACAAACTGTCTGGCCACAGGGTCGAGAAATCCAGTCAGTTTGTTTTCTAAATCCAATATAGCTCACTTGATTCATAAAAGCAGTTTATCAATGGTACAGGTTTTTGAGCCTTAACCCAGATTTTTGCATGAGCAGTATGTCATTCTGGATCAGGACAGTCACCGTAGGTCTATTTTGGTTTCAGAGCAGAAGGAAAAAGTTGTTACTTCTTGAAGTCGTTCAACAGTTTGCGTTCTCTTCACCCGCTGTTTAGCTTTATCGCCCGCATCACTTTTAGTGTCATTCTTTTTTGCGTCCTTACGTTCGTCATCTTCCTCGCTGCTACTGCTACTGCTGCTGCCACTTTTCTTACCTGTTTTACCTTTACGGTCGCGCCCTGAAAGTCATCTTGTCCCAGCTACATGCAAAAACTCACTAGACGACTAAATATAATTTGTTCACAGTGTCAAACTTTTCCAGAAATGTGTTCTTGCAACTACCAGTTTTCCTAAACGGCCCTATGCGCCAACCATGTCCGTCTCATAATTGCACAAAATACGTTTATTGAATATTCAGCAAACTAAGACCCTTGCCTACACCTAGACTCTTTTTGGCATGGAATTTTTGGGTTCAAAAAATTTTTGATTGAAAATCCCCGTCAGCCTACTTCCAAGCAGTTCT